ACGCGCACCAGCGCGCAGGCGGCACACTCATCATCCTGGGAGAGCGAGGCCGGATCCTGCAGTGCAGGCAGGGTTCTTAGCACACTCGATGTTTGGGGAACAGCACGCGGCAGCAGAGACCGCCGCCGCCCTTCCGTCCTCTTGCTCGACGCGTCCCTGGAGATGCGATCACACGCTCGGCCTCATCGCCCGCCTCATCCTGGTCCTGCTGCTCCGTCCTCCCCCCCCCTGGGGAGGCGCCAGTGAGCACCATCTCGACGTTCAAAGTGGCGGGGCACGAGGCCTTGAGCGCGGACCACCTGAAGACGATCTTCCCCATGGGAGCGCCAGAGTGCTACAAGGCCAGCGGAGCGCGAGTGCCAGAGAGGGGGAAGGACGGACTCTGGGGCAAGCCCAGGGTGCGGCAACGACGTTGCCAAACGCCTGGGGACGTTCGTCAGGGAAGGTGCCCAGGAGGCCGCAGACCCTGGAGGATTCCGTGTCTGAGGAGGGCGGCGGCGATGCCCATGGCCGATTCACGATTGGGACCCCACTGGCTTCCAGTGCCCTGGATTCCTTCTTCTTCTCCGGTGCCCCCACCGTATGCCCTCCCGTCCCACACATACACACACACACGTGAAAAAGACAGGCGCCCCATGGGCCTGGCATTCGGGCGGAGCCCCGCTTCTGCACGGGGACGGCCCTGCACCTCCCAGTTGTGATAGGAGCGCGACGAGGCAGGAGCGGAACATTCGAGGATCGAAGATCAGAGAACGGCACGAGCATAAGCTTTTGGCGCTCCGCGCGGAGTCCTTGGATCCGCGCTGGGCCCCCCTGGCGCGCGCCGCGCGCCAGGCAGGGGGGTCCGGCGCAAATCCAAGAGATCCAGGCGGAGCGCCAAAAGTTTATGTTTATGCAGTTTTTTTCGAGCGAGAGCCCCAGTCTGACAAGCGAGAGCCCCAGTCGAGCGAGAGCCCCAGTTTTTTTCGAGCGAGAGCCCCAGTCTACAGGAGCTGTTGAGCGAGAGCCCCCCGTCTGACAAGGAGCCACCCTCCATCCGTAGAGTTGTTGTACTCTTTCACGCTTTCGGCAGCTTCTCAAGGAAATCTCACACAGGAGCCCTCCTTCCATATCACTGACCTCCGCCAGCGTAACTGTTAGAAGCGTTTCAGGCGAATGTGTCCGGCGCTGATGCGATGGCCACACTGTGAGGTCGATCCACATTCCATCATAGTATAGTTGGAAAGCGTGCAAGGCGAGTGTGCGCGGCCCTCACACGAGAGCAAAATTATGAGGAGGATCCGCCCTTCATCCTCAGAGCTGTTGGTAGCTTTTAAAACGAATATGAAGGGCGCTGAAGCGGGAGGCGCATGCTATAAACATGTGAAAACAAATATGAGGGGCGTGAAACTGGTGGAGATGTTTAAGACGAAGGTGCGCGGCGCTGTCGTGAGAACCACTTGTTGCAAACGACACGTCCTCCACCCTTGTCACTCTTGGAAGCTTTTAAAACGATACTGTGCGGTGCTATTGCGAAAACCACATTTTACAAACGACTCGCCCTCAATCTTTGTAACTATTGGAAGATTTTGAGACGAGCATGAATGCCCTCAGGCGAGAGCCACATTTTGAAAACGATCCGCTCAACCTTGTGTACTTGTTGGACGCCGGAGCATATGTGTCAAGGGGGTCTGCGGCGAAACGCCTTACCCACCTTTTTGGGACGTCTGGTGGCGCGACACGGAGGAGTAATGCATAAGGAAGTGAGATTGAAGAGGAGGAGGAGGAGGAGGAGGAGGAGGAGGAGGAAGAGGACGAGGAGCAACAGCAGGAGGTGGACGAGCAGAAGCGCTGCAGGGAGGAGGGCAAGAGCGGTGAAGAGGTCGCGCAACGGGGCGCCCTGGGGGGCAGCTGGGGTGGCCGCTCTGAGGAATGCCCACGGGGAAGTGACCAAAGGCGGAGTACACACGAGCCGCCAGGCCCGCGGGAGACGCCTCCTCCTCCTCCTCCCTCCTCCTCCTCCTCCTCCTCCTCCTCCTCCTCCTTCTCCTCCTCCTCCTTCTCCTCCTCCTCCCTCCTCCCTCCTCCCTCCTCCCTCCTCCCTCCTCCCTCCTATCTCCTCCTTTCCAACAGGAAGGACCACGGACCAGGTGGCGAAGCCACAGAAGTGGGTGCGACGAGCCGCCCGCGGGACAGCCGTGAGCTCAGTCGCAGCACCGGGAGAAGTCGCCTCTGCACGGGGCACGGTGCCGTCGGGGTGTCAGCAGCGGTTGCACAGATGGGATCTGGTTTTCCCCGAAAGATGGCCACGCCTTGTTCGTGCGCTTGATGGCCTGAGCAGGCGGGGTGACTTGCTCTCAGGGGTCGCGGGCGTTGAGGACCAGGGCGGGTGGCGCGGCCCTGACTTCCGCAGCGGGCACCCAGTAGCGGCCCACGTTGACCCACCCGTCGTTGTCGCTGTCGAGGGCGACTGCGCCGCAGGTCGGGGGGGCCCCCCCCGGCGGCGAAAACGCCGTCGGTGGCAAGATCGTTGTGCTTGGGCGCATGGTGGCGTGGCTGTCCTGGTCCAAGAGCGTCGTCGCGCTCGGGGCCCCCACGTGTCAACCGTCCAGCCTTCCACCATTTAGCTGTCTCTCCTCTCGCTGCGTCCTTCTCGCCTTGTCTCTCCTGGTCCCCCATCCATCCATGCTTCTCCGCCGCCGCTTAGGGCCCTTGAGCCAGGGCGTCCCGGGACAGGAGGTACAAGACATGCCTCCCAGCGATCTCGATCCGACCCGAAGCGATCCTCGATCGACACCGCGCGGAGTCGCGGGCGTCCTGCTGTCCCGCACGTCTTGGAACAGCGATGGGCCCTCGGCGCTCTTGCAACTCGCAGCGGCGCGGCTCCGCGCCGCGGGCGGAGGCAGCCGCCGCGGGGCACCTTCGGGGCCTGCTTGGGCACAGCAGGGAAAAGGGAAGGGCGTGCGCACGTGGGGAGGGGGCGCCGCGGACGGCGGACGCCGCGCTCCGAGCATGTAGGTCTTGCCTCCTCCTCCTCCTCATCCTCCTCCTCCTCCTCCTCCTTCCCCTCCTCCTCCTCCTCCTCCTCCTCCTCCTCCTCCTCCTCCTCCTCCTCCTCCTCCTCCTCCTCGGTGTGCAGGAGCACAGGCTTGCCCGGCAGCGGGGGAACCAAGAGGCACCGATACCGCTCCTCCCCAGACCTCTCATCGGGGTGCGCTCTGACCAGGATCTCGAGGCGAAGCCGGCGGTGGCGATGAGGGCCTCCTCGCCCGTCGAGCGCCTGGCCGCGCGGCGGCGTTGGCGGCCTCCTCGCGGCGTCCTCGGCGCCGCCCGGCTCGGCTCGGCCGCGGCGGCGGGCCCCGACCTCCTAGGCCTCCCAGGTGGGGTCCGAGTAGCCAAGGATAGTCAAAAATAGCCAGGCTGACGTTTGAAGTTTGAAACCCAAATTCTAACACAGACGCTGACCAGAGAGGCGATAGGAACGACACGGCGATTCACACCTCGAATGCCCGGTGCTGAGCAACAAAAACAAAAAGCAATAAAAAAACGATTGTTTGACACCTTTCCCATATGTTGGAGTGTGTTTGGGCTGCCTTGAACTTGTCTTCTAAAAGCCGCCTGTAGGAGGACATGCCCGACCTAAGAGTAGATGGGGTCGGAGCATCGTGCCGCATCGCAGATGCATCGCCGACGCGGCTCGATGTGGAGCCCGATCATCTTCACGTCGACGTCGCCGAGGCGTCGACGATGCATCGCTGATGCATCGGCGATGCATCGGCGATGCATCGCCGATGCATCGGCGATGTATCGGCAATGCGGCGTTGTCCTCCGGCCCCACCTGCTCGGACCCCAGCTAGGAGGCCTCCAGACCTGCCCGCGGCGTGGCGCTGCACGCGGGCAGGCAGGAGGAGCAAGAGGTCGTGATGTGATGGTACCTTACGGGATCTCCGTCGGGGGTGGACAGACCTCCCACCCTGACACGTCGATTAGTGAGGTGGCCGTTTTCGGTCCGCGAGAGGGCGTCGCGGCCGTCATTTTTGCGGGTCCAGGCCCGCGGGTTACGGTCCCAGGCCGTTTTCACTAGGGGGAGGTTTACTAAAGGGAGGTGTGTCCACCGCCGAGAGGCTGGTGTTCACGGAGTGCCGTTGACGGCAACACCACATCGCTCGCCCTCTGGGTCTTCGCCTCCGGCTCCTGTCCACGGCGTACCTTTCCCTGTGCAAGCTCCTCGGCACCGCCTGCACCCTGGGCCCTGCCCTCTCCGGCCGCCTGAGGCCCCGCCCGCCTGTGCCCTGCCTCCCCAATTGGAGCTGTGCGTAGCCCGCCCAGCTTTTAGCGGAAGAGGTTCGCTCTCGCCGCGCCGACCAAAAAAGTGTCCACCGCCGACTCCGGAGCCCCAGGGATCCTCGACTGCTCCGCACGGGCTGCAGCGCCGAGGGGCCGCCAGATGCTCGCGAGGCCCCGGAGCGCATCCCGGGCCCAGCCTGGCCACGGCACCGCGCTCGCCCCAGCAGGGGCGGAGCGGCCCCATGGGCCTGGCCGCCGCCCCATCCGTGACCGCCCCGAGTGTTCAGTCGGGCGTGTCCCCCTACAGGGGGATTGTCGACGAAAATTTAAAAATACCCCAACAATAATCCAAAAATAGTCTGGGGACTATTTTAAAGTACTTTTCGACAACTTGGGAGTATGTTTTGAGTATTTTTTATTTTTCGTCGAGAATCCCCCTCTAGGGGGACACGCCCGACTTAAGCCGGGTGCCAGGGCGCGGGGCCATCGAATGGCACTCGGTGTGGCGGCGCCGCTCCTGCGGGCCAGGGCTCGACCATGCCGTTCGAGTGGTTGGAAGGGGAAGAACCCCGAAACCTTTCACGCCTGACGAGGCTGGTGGGACTCCGAAACCATCCCTGGCGAGGAGCGGGTGGGCCTGGTGCGAGCAGGCCCTATCGGTGGCAGCGTACGCCCACCCGGCCCCCGGCGTCGTCGGTGTACTCCTCGCAGGTGTCGTCGCCGGGGACCCTCTGGTGACGGCCGCAGAATGGGCTGCGGGAGCTCGTTTTCGGCGGACACGGAAGGGGCAAGGTAGGCGCGCCCGCGCCAGATCTGACATCCGATCCCTCCCACCCATCCCTTCCCACTGCGCTGATGATATGTTCTCTATCCGCGGATGCGTGTCATAGCCGACCTGGCATTCCAAAAAAGACCCCTATCGTGTTATGCGCAATCAGATAAGGGGAGTTGCGCACACAGGAGGAAGATGTGGCGGGTGAGCAGGAGGAGCTGCAGCAGGAAAGGAGGAGGACGTGGTAGAAGGAGGAGGAGGAGGAGGAAGAGGACGAGGACGAACAGCAGCAGCAGGAATTGCAGTGGAAGGAGCGGGAGGGGGAGGAGGACCAGGGGAAGGTGGAGGAGCTGAGCAGGAGGAACATAGGGAGGATGAAAAAGGAGGACAAGGACGATGATGAACATCAGCATCGGGCATTGGAGTCGAAAGAGCGGGAGGAGCAGGAAGACCATGGGAACGCGGAGGAAGGGAAAGGAGGGTGGCGGCAACGATGAAGAAGGATTCGGTTTCAGAGAAGCCCACGTTGGGGCGAGAGCGTCATTCTGATCGACGGGAGCAAATCGCCGATCCGAAAATGATGCCCAGGCTGCAGCAGGGGTGCCATTTTGAAACACCGAGGCCAATCGAGTCGTGAAAAAATGAAAGACCACTGCTGTCCAAATCGGTGTGTAAAAAACATTCGCGGAGAGGGCGGAACACCTTCCGGACAGAGTCAGGCGAGAGAGGACCACAGTATGGAGAGGGACAGGTCGAGATGGGGAGGGAATGAGGGAGAGAGGGGGAGTAGGAGAAAGGGAAGAGAGACAGAGAGAGGGAGAATGTACAACATGTGAGACATACTTATACCTATATATATATACACATATAACGAGAGAGAGAGAGAGAGAGGAAGAAAGAGAGAGAGTGAGAGAGAAAGAAAAGAGAGAGAGAGAGAGACAGAGAGAGAGAGAGAGAACACGGAAAAAACGATGGCAGGGAGGAAGGGATGGAGGGGGAGCGGGGCAGAGTGCGAGAATGGCAGTGAGCAAGTGTTCGCTTCGCTGGATCAGGTGGGCATGCCTGCACCTGCGGGGCGCCTAGCAGGGGCTGCCTGGCCCTCCTCCGCCTCCGCCTCCTCCTCCTCCTCCTCCTCCTCCTCCTCCTCCTCCTCCTCCTCCTCCTCCTCTTCCTCCTCCTCCTCCTCCTCCTCCTCCTCCTCCTCCTCCTCCCCCTCCCCGTGCGCTGCCTGCCTCTCCACCTCCCCGCCCCCCCTTTTCCCGACTCCCCCTGCTCCCTTCCCTCTTCCTCGCCCTCCCCTTTTGCCTACATTCTTCGTGGTCTCACTGCCCCCCCCTCCTCTCCACCTCCCCCTCCCCCCTCCTTTTCCGACTCCTCCTGCTCCCTTCCTTCCTCCTCGCCCTCCCTTTTCATCCGCGTTCTTCGTGGTGTCACTACCCCCCCCTCTGGAGCACCACTGGCTCCGGATGGATCCCAAATATATACTAACCGTGGTTTATAACGTTCCAGGATTAGTGACCCGGGTTTATAATGTCCCCCCGGGTCATTATGAATTTGGTGTTCAACGTTCTGGGAATATTGTTTGGGGTTCATAATTCTCCCCCGGGAATATTATAAACCTTGGTTTATAATGTTCTGGGGATATCGACCCCAAAAATATATTAACCTGGGTTCATAATGTTCCGAGAATATTGACTGGGGCTTGCAATGTCCTGGGAATAATGACCCCGGTTTTCGTAACTCCGGAATGATCATAATAATTATGTTCCCCACCCCCCGGGTTCCCCACCAGGTTTTTCATGTCAGAATATTGACCCCGGTTCATTATCTCCAGGAGATAATAAACCTGGATTCATAATGCTCCCCGAATATTGTCCCTGGGTGAATTATTCTGGAATGATAATGATTGAGCTTGGGGGGCGCCGTTTGAGAGTACGTTCCAAACTGAAATAAACCCTGGTCCATAATGTTTGAATCTTAAACTTACTAGGTTGATTTTTCCGGAAAGATACTAATTCGGCCAGCGGGGGGGGGCTGAGCCCGATCCATTCACAGGACAGTAATCCATAGGGCATCATCTGAAGACAATGAATGAACCACGGTAGTCAACCATAGGTTCAAGAGCCGAGATAATGAACCAAGACAATGAACCACATCCATCGGTTCTCATTCCTACCACCCTCTGGATTAAAAAGTTGTGATGACCGGCACTATGCGAGAGAGCGATCCCCGCGGGTTTCGCCGGTCGACTGGCCCTCGAGCCTCCACCATCGATCAACCCCGAGATGACTCCAAGGCAGGCCCGTGAACCGAATGACGGAACGGCTCCGCAGGGCGTGGAGCTCTGCAGCACAAAGTTATGGAAATCATCGCACACGAAATCTTTGTCTTCTGGCGGCATGGAAGGCAACCTGCAAGTGCTGTTTGAGGACGTCTTAAGCGAAACGACCACTCTCAGGCGGCATGAACATCGATCTGAAACTTTTTGTGAGGAAGTCCTAGGCAAAATCGCCACTTTCAGACGGCATGGGAGAATTTCAGATCGCCCTGGAAGGCGATCTGAATTTTTGTGGGAAGAAGTCCTAGGCGGAATGCCACTTTCAGACGCCGGCCCCATTTGGCCTTTATAATGTTAAAGGGGGTGAGGTATGCGTCTGAAACTCCAAATTCGGCATCAAATCCAACATTGTCCTGGGCCCCATGGCCTAACGGGTGGCCAACAGCGTCTCTCTCTCTCCCTCTCGAACCCCGCCGTCCCAACTTTTTAATCCAGCGGGTTGTAGATAGCTAACCACGGTCGACGAGGATTTCGGAGGTGGCCTCCACTGGCTCGGCATATCCGTTTCAGGAGGAGGGGCGTTCCAGCGGCCCCGTCGCGGCAAGAGAGCTCGACGATGACATCTCGAGGCCTGATTACTGGGAGAAATCAGCGTCACCCTACGTTGGCTCCATGAGACCGAACTCTGCGCCTTGAAGATGTCCACTCACCCCAGGACATGGCAGGTCCTTGTGCAGACGTCGGGATGGGGAAGGAGAGGGGCGAAGGGGGAGCGGGGGGGAGAGGGTGAGAGGGAGGGCGAGGAGGAGGAGGAGGAGGAGGAGGAGGAGGGAGAAGATCGAGATATAGATGAAGAGGTCGAGGGAAATGGCATGGGGGAGAGGGGAGAGGGAGCACCAGAATTGACAATCACCATTCCACTGCGCGCCCGTCGCATGATGCCGGCACTCGAAATGACATGGCCGTGGTCCCGCGACCAGGCCTCCGCCGAGCCCTCTTGCCCAACACTTACCCGCAGGGCCTCCCCCTCCGTCACTCACCCGCAAGAGGTTGTCGGAATGAGGCGCGAGCGCTGCTCGACCAGCGCCAGACCCGGTTGCTGGGTCGGGTACTTCGGCTTGGCGTGTGGCCGCCGTCGGTTCTGGCACGCCACGCCTCATCGCGACACGCTGTCCACGTCCGGGCCCCCGTGCGTCCACGTCCCGAGCGTTTCCCAGCCTCCCGCCCCGCCGAGCGCAGCGACACGCCATCCTCTTGCGGAGCACGGCGTGTCGCCGGGGCCACCGCCGCGACACGCTGGGATTCAGTCGGGCCCGTCCCTCTACAGGAGGACTATTCAAAAATAGTCCAAAAATAGTCTGTGGACTATTTGGAGTACGTTTCGGAATTTTTTATTTTTCGTCGAAAATCCCCCTGTAGGGGGACGCGCCCGACTTAACGCTGGGCACAAGTTCCCGACGGCGAGCTCGCAGCGTGGCGCGGGCTCGCCGACCAGCCGGGGGGCCACGAGCGGGGCCCGAGGTGCCCGTGCAGCTGAAGGGGTGGGACACGGCGCAGCCGAAGGTCCTGGTCGCCGAGCAGGCGCCCGTGGTCTCGCCTTCGGACGTGCCCACGGCACAGGAGCGGGGCTCCGCACCGGGTGGCGCCGAGGCAGGAGGAGGAGGGGGAGGGGAGGAGGAGGAGGAGGAGGAGGAGGAGGAGGAGGAGGAGGAGGAGGAGGAGGAGGAATGAGGAATGAGCATAGGAATGGAAGAAGGAGGGGGAGGAGGAGGAGGAGGGCGGAGGAGGAAAGAAGGAGGAGACGGAGGAGGAGGGGGGGGGAGGAGGTGGAGGAGGTGGGGGGAGGAGGAGGAGGAGGAGGAGGAGGAGGAGGAGGAGGAGGAGGAGCAGACGAGGCAAAGCAAGGTTATGCGCTCGTGGGTCCTGAGTGCCAGCAGCATCGCTTGTGAGGCGAGCCCTGCATGAGGAGAATACCCGAAAGAGGTGGACAGCCTGGACGGCCGGCCTGTGAGGACAGCAGGCGACTCGATATCGAAGATCAGTTGCCCATGTGCCTGGAGTGCCCCTTCGTCTACGAGGCGTGCCCCAGCCATGGGGAGAAGCTGTTGCCTGCGCTGATGCTCAAGAGCCCGGAACTGCCCGAGCTTGGCAGCTGGCGCTTGCTCCAGTCCAGGAGGGCCATGAAGGGTTGGGAGGAGCTCCACAATGGGCGCGGCCGGCAGTCGGAGCCGCGGGTGGCGTGAACTCTTCGATGGCGGGTGTTCGTCGGTTGCAGATGGCGATATTCACAATGCCGTGGCTCAGCGCGTACCTTCGACCCGTTTTCAACCCGCCAGCGTGAGGGTTGACCAATTATTGGAGCCTCCTCGTGTACCCGACGAAGGGTGCCATCGCCACCCAGATCGGCGAAAGGGACATGTCGATCATGCTGGACTCGGAGAGAGAGTGCAGTGGATCTCGCCCATGCTGGAAGAGCTGCGCGCAGGCCACGAGGAGATGAATCTGCGGGACTTCGATTACTGCCAGTCTGCGAAGGAGTATAAGAGGGCCGTACCGCGCTGAAGGCGCCGAAGGCGGTACACCATCAGCCGCGACGCAGCAGCCCATCTACAGACAGGGCCGAGGGCTGCCGAGGGTCATCAAACGAGGCCAGTGGCGGCAGACAACCTCGGCCAATCGGTACGAACCGGGGGCGCGGCTGGCAAAGGCGGTCAGCAGGCACTCGGCGCCAGCCATGGCCGAAGGGGGGTATTAACCATAAACGTGGAACGTTTAACCGTAAACGTGTTACCAGAGTAAAGCACCAGACTAAAACACTATACCAATACAGATAGCCTTTATCGCAAGCGTGGCACCAGAATGAAACATGAAGCCTTAATCGCAAGCGTGGCACCAGACTAAACCACCAGAGTAAAGCATGAAGCACCAGGCTAAAGCATAAACACCCTACTGAAGAACAACTCTACAGCACCCGACTACATCACCACACCAAAAAACACCAGGTTAAAGCACCAAACTACAGCGTAAAGCATTGGATGGAATCATAAAGCACCAGACCAACTAAAGCATAAAGCCGCAACCGTAAGCGCGGCACCTGAATAATTATTGGCATTACGCGTATCCCCACCAGCCCATCCAGAGACGATGCCCAGACGAGTTGTCATGAGGAGGAGCATACAGAGGAACACAGGGATGGCGAAACTGTCGTATCCCAAGAGGGGGGAGGAGGAGGAGGAGGAGGAGGAGGAGGAGGAGGAAGCGGATAAGAAGGTGGAGGAGGAGGAGGAGGAGGAGGAGGAGAGGGCGAGGAGGAGGAAGGAGGAGGAGAACGTGGAACAGGACGAGGAGGAGGAGGAGGAAAAGGAGGAGGAGGAGGATGGGAAGGGGCAGGAGGCAGGAGGCGGATGAGGAGGTGGAGGAGGAGGAGGAGGAGGAGGAGGAGAAGGAGGGAGGGGGAAGAGAAGGAGGAGGAGGAGGAAAAGGGCAAACAGAAGAGCCAGAAGACTCTTGAATGCCTCTCGGAGTCTCCTCCGATGTCTCTTGGAAGCTGTTTGGAGTCCTCTTGGGGCGTCTGGGGGGCCTCTTGGCGGGCCCAGGGACGTCGTTGAGCGTCGTGGGTGCCTCGGAGATCCTCTTGAGGCCTCTTGGGAGTCTTGGAGGCTTCTTCCGCTCGTCTTGGGGCAGGTTGGGCGCCTCTTGGGGCCCTCTTGGGGCGCTCTTGGGAGCCTTAGGGGCACTCTTGGGGCCACCTTCGAGGAGATCGATCAAAGAAGGGGAGGGTCGCAATTAGGCCCCTCGGGAGCCCCAAAAATCGAGGTCGCTCTTGGAGCGCTCTTGGGCGCTCTTGGGGCCTTCTTGGAGCTCTCTTGGAGCCCTCTCGAGCCATCTAGGAGCCTTCTTGAGGCCTCAGAAAGCTATCGAAAGCAAATGGGCGACGGTGCAAAAATTATTGTGTTTCTCCGGGTGGCTGAAGGATGTTGGCTTCTTGGGGGCTTCCTTGGGGGTCTCGGAGACCTCTTGGAAACGTCTTGGAGCATCTTGGGAGCCATCTTGAGGCGTCTTGGGGGCCATGTTGAGGCACCTTCGGCTATATTGACCCATTTGGGCGGTCATCTTGGGCTCTCTGAGGCGCTCTTGGAGCCGTCTTAAGCCAGCCATCTTGGACGCTCCAACCCCTCGCGGAACCCCCGTCCAAGTCCAGGGGAGGGGGTAAAGGGGAGGGATAAGCCCCTCCCCGAAGGAGAAGAAGGGGGTTGGAAGAGAAAGTTTCCGAGACCACCTACGCCCAGAGGGCTGGTGGGAATCACCAGACTTCAGCATCAAGCTTTAACCGAATGCACAGGAACAGACTAAAGCAGCAGACTAAGACATAAAGCACCAGATTGACGAAAGCACCGGATTGCACCAGATAAAAGCATTACAGCCTCGGCCGCAAGCGTAGCACCAGACTAAGGCACCAGTGCACAGCGGCAGTTGTTCGGAAACTCCGACTGTGCATTGCATCTCTCCGCTCCGCCTCCAGTCCCATCGTCTGCGACGCTCTGCCGACGTTGGGCCGTGTGCAATTTGGCCCGAAGAGCCTCGATGGGGCGAAACGCGTGACCCTTCTCCTCGCTTGAGCTTCGACCCGAAGCAAGCATCCGATCAAATTGCACAGCTTCAACTGCAGAGCGAGGCAACCGACGAAAGCACCAAAAACCGCAGCAGCTGCCGGCGCAGTGGCCCGTGCCTTGCTGTGGCGCGCGAGCGCCGGCCCGAGGGCGCAGCGCGCGGCGCGGGCAGACGCCGCCCGAGCCTTCCAAGGCAGCCGAGGCGGTGGGTCGCCTGTCCTGCCTGTGCCTCTGGAGAGGAAGGAGGAGGAGAAAGAGGAGGAGGAGGAGGAGGAGGAATAATAATAATAATACGAACAATTCGAGTAATAATAATAATAGCACTAATAATAGTAGTAATAATAATAATAATGATAACAATAATAATAACAATAATAATAGTAGTAATAATAATAACAACAATAATAATAATAATACGAAGAAGAAGAATATTAAGACGACAACAAGAAGACGACTACTACTACTAGTAATAAGAGCGTGCGTGGCCGATGCCCTCTCGAGTGCTTGTCGGCGGCCGGCCTGGGGGGATTGGCCTGAGAGGAGGCAGGCCGCCTCAGGAGGCCCCGCCGCCTACCTCCTCTCACTTCCACCGCCGGGCGCGCCGCCGATCGGCACGTCGCCAGAAGCGTCCGTGGGCGGGGCGTGCTGCAGCAAGGGACCGGGAGGCCGAGTTGGGTGCAGAGCATGACGTCACGCCGCCTGGCGCAAGCACCGCTCACTCTGTTGCAAGATCCGAAGCGAGGCAACATTGGCTGTCTCACGGTTGCTCACGCGTGGAAGCCCTTGAGCACCCACCTCATACGTTTGGCACCGTTTCGATTGAATCCGTTCAGGCGAACTGTCCGTATCTGAACGCACTGTTCTTGATAAGTGTATGCTTGAGACATCTCTGCAGGAAGCGTGTCCAGCTTCTCCGTGGCCACCATGGCGTCCAGGAAATGTGTGTCTTCGTATTGGTGTTCCAAACTTTGAACTGGCAGACTGCGTTGTTGACGTCAGTGGCCCAAGCTTGTCCAAAGAATCCCGTTGGTGCTCTGGGTCATGCCTTTCGAACAAACCCTTTTCAAGTGTGTCCCGAATTTACACGCTAGTGGGCGTGGTTTGTTCTGTCGACGTTGCAGGCGTGTCAAATAACCGTTGGCCTCAGGGGACCGCAGGGCTCGAAACGGTGGCAAATGACCAGCCGGCATTTGTCCGTTCTCGCTTGCCATGACAGTGCAGAGCCCGCTGAGAAGAAACAGCACGTTCTTACCACAGTTTGGTCTGAGTGCGCATGCACGCGATTGGTTGGAAGGAGCATTTTTGGGATGGCGTTTCGGTCACCCTCCAATCGTCATGTACTCACCCTCGGTAACCCTGCGCTTGCTCCCCAGACGTCGGCCACTCCTGGGTGCGGATGAAGGACGGCCAACGGCCATTTGGCATATGTTCGTCCTCGTTGGCCGTGACCGCGCATAGCGATAACCGAAACATCACCTGTTGAGGAGAAGAGCACTTGCTATATCCAATTATAGTTCCGAAAACTGGCACTGGGATTCCTCCAGGCAGACGAGTTGTCATCGGACGACTGTCGCGGTTTTTTTTGGGGGGGGAGAATGCTTCCTTCTGCTGCAAGGGAGAAGGGGCGTGCGCAGGTGTTGGCTTGGTCGTACGTAGGTAGGCGGGGGAAGGAGGGAAGGAAGGGCGACGAGCAGGGGGCTCCAAATATTTGTCCCTCGGCCCACCTTCTCCCGCTCTCCCTCCCTTTCCCCCTCCCCCTCGCCCTCCTCCTCCTCCTCCTCTTCCTCCTCCTCATCATCATCAGCATCATCATCTCCCATCGTGTCTCCTTAGAAATAGCCCCTCCCTGTCTCACCACCAGACGTGTCGTTGGGGCGGGCCGCGCGCTTCGCGCGAGACTCCCCCACCGTTCACGTCCTCGAAGCTTGAAGCTGCCAAGACTCCACACGGATGGACGGCGGGCCGTCTTCAAAACGGGGTCTCCGCCTCGTCGCCGTGCATTCTCACCTCTCAGCACAGCAGCTGACTCGAGGTTGGGCGGGCCGTCTGCACCATGGGGCTCTCGCCGTGGCGCCGCCCACGCGCCTCCCCTCTCTCTTCCAGGTCGTGGCTGCCTCTGCGGACGAGCCAACAGCCTTAGCTCACACTCGTCGTGAGCCACACCTTGAGCAGGAGCCTCGCCCAACACAGATGCGCCCCAGCGTTCTGCCTTCTCGATGGGCAGTTTCCTCTCGTCTGGTCATCCGTTGTTCTCCCTCACACCTTCGAGTCGCTTCACCCTCCGCTGATGGACCAACAGCCCAGGCCCACGCACACCATCATGCGCAGTTTGAGCAGAATGCTAGCAAGCATGCGTCCCGTCGACCCACCTCCACGATGGGATAGCAGGCCATTCTTGCTCATCTTGACAGCCTTTACCTGTGATGGTATGCCTGTCCCCCCCCCCTCCCCCACAGCCACGCAGTGTCCTGACTGACGCCCAGGACGGCACGGCTACCTCCCTGCCAACTCCGCGGCATGGCGGCGGCCCCCGTGTCCCCCGGCGACACCGCGCCCGCTGCAGCGGCAGTCGTTCGGGAAGCAAGCGCCCCCGCGGAGGACGCCCGCCAGGGCAGCCAGTGGCGAGAGGTTGCCTACGACGCGGCCAAGCGCCGTTATCGCAAGGTGTGGCCCACCAGCTGCCGTGAGAGTGGAAGTTGCCCATCGGCATGTGCCATCCGTTCGTGCAGAAGCGCGTCGGGGTCACGCCCAGGGACAACCAGGCTCACGAGGAGTGGGATTGGTTCTGGGTCGAGGCGCCAGGCTTGCCCGGTCGCAGAGGCGGAGGCCAAGTTGAAGGAGGATCGTGTGGCGAACACGGTCACCAACCAGTAGCGATGAGGCCCACATGTTGTTGCTTGCCGTATTCTTCCCAACGTAGGTTGTGAGCCTGCCCCATGTCATGAGCCAGGCGCAGCTTTGAATGCTAGGCCCGCAATACTTCGGCAAAGGACCTACCCTCACAGCACCCCTTCCCTCATTCCTTCAGTGATTCCGTGCTTCCCTTGGCTATCCTCACCTTTAAAGGACCGCCCATCCGTTGCCCCGCCAAGTCTCGGTTCCTTGCCTGCAGTTTTCTTCGACAGGCGTAGATTCGAGGCGGGGCGCGAACAAGCATGTGCATAGCCACGTTCTTTGCTTCCCGAGTCCCACCAATTCTCTTGAAGTTGGTGGCGCTCGTACCTGTAAACTCGTGTGGCGGGGTGTCCCACTGTAGGAAGCCGCACTGCAGATTCGAAGCGAGCACCGCTCACATGGAGCTTGTAAAGTACTACAGTCGACCGCGATTGCCCATGGTCAACATGTTGCCACAGTGGCCGCCTGGCGTGAGCGAACCTTGTCCTTCGATGATTTCCTCCCCGATTCGCTTCGGCACGCATACGATAAAGGCGGCTCGGTCTGCAGGTGCCGTGTCCCCCGACGGCCTCCCCGAAGGGCAGAGCCACGACGGCCCCCCTCGGCCGTGGAAGCGGTCGCTACCAGAGCAACTCCCGGACGCGTGGGCACGGCTTGCTTACTACAGGGTGTGGGAGGGATTGCACCTACGATTAAGTCGGGCCTGTCCCCCTACAGGGGGATTTTCGACGCACAATATCAAAATATCCAAAAAATAGTCCAAAAATGGTCCAGAAATAGTCTGGGGACTATTTTTTTGTATGTTTGACCTTCTTGGGGTCTTTTTGAGGTATTTTAATTTATCTTCGAAAATCCCCCTCTAGGGGGACACGCCCGACATAAACCTACGGCAGGTGCCCGCACCCACCCTCCTCTCCTTCTTCCTGGACTCCGCCCACAACCGCCCGGCGATCCCTCACTTCGCTTCAGCCGAGAGGTGCGCCCAGAGGTTCAGCACAGCCATGTCGGTTCTCCGGCCCAGCTCCTCCCGCTCGCCCGCCCGTCCAGTGTGGCAGGCATTGCCAGCCAGACCACGTTCAGCATGGCGTGGAGGTGCTCCAGGCCTTTTTCGTTGGTCACTCCACAGTGAGCAACCAGCTAGTTCCTGTCCCGACCAGCTTTGCACGGCAATGCTCTCTCTGCTTTGCGTTTCTTTCTACATACTCATCCAGCCTGCGCGCAGTTGGCGCCGCTCCAGGCAAAGCTGTGGCACACGACGGTCTCAAGTCAAAAGCCTCCTCCTCCCCCTCCTCCACCTCCTCCTCCTCCTCCTCCTGCTCTCCTCCTCCCTCCTCCTCCTCCTCCTCCTCCCCCTCCTCCCTCCTCCCTCCTCCTCCTCCTCATCCTCCTCCCCCTCCTCCTCCTCCTCCTCCTCCCCTCCTCCTCCTCTCCTCCTCCTCCTCCTCCTCCTCCTCCTCCTCCTCCTCCTCCTCCTCCTCCTCCTCCTCCTCCTCCTCCTCCTCCTCCTCCTCCTCCTCCTCCTCCTCCTCTCCTCCTCCTCCTCCCTCCTCCTCCTCCTCCTCCTCCTCCTCCTCCTCCTCCTCCTCCTCCTCCTCCTCCTCCTCCTCCTCCTCCTCCTCCTCCTCCTCCTCCCCCTCCTCCTCCTCCTCCTCCTCCTCCTCCTCCTCCTCCTCCTCCTCCTCCTCCCTCTCCTCCCGCCCCCCATCGCCGCTCCCCCGCGCAGCGCTCCTCCTACGCGATGCTGGAGGCCACCCCGAGCGCCGCGGCGGGCCAGTCCGCCACCTTCGGCGACCAGAGGGGACGCGGCATGCCGAGCCCAGGAGGAGGGGGAGGAGCAGAAGGAGAAGGAGGAGGAGGAAGAAGAGGAGGAGGCGGAGGAGGAGGAGAAGCAGAAGGAGGAAGAGGAGCAAAAGGAGGAGGAGGAGGAGGAGGACCAGGAGCAGGAGCAGGAGCAGGAGCAGGAGGAGCAGGAGGAGGAGGAGGAGAGCAGTTTCTTTGTTCGGGAGGCATGCAGCTGTCCAGGCGATGCGACAGGGTGCTTGGCGAGGCCACTTCGAGGCAGGCGGGAGGAACATCCGTTCCGACCTCCTCCATTGGTGAAAGATCGAAGCTGCACGGACGGCTCGGCAGCAGCAGAAGGAGGGGTAGGGCGACGAGCACGGCGAGGTGAATCAGGAGCGGAAGCAGAAGGGGCCGGAGTGGCAGGAGTGGAGTGCGGGTTAGTTTTCTCCAGTCTGCTGGAGGGGAACCGCGAGGGTCGATAGACCTGAGGCGGCACTTGATGGGAAGAAAGGAGCAAGAACAGGGATAAGCATGGCAACGCCGCGTCATCATCGTGTCCCCCCCACCCCCCCACACACCACCCGCCATGCCTTGATCTTACCCGCCTCACGAGTCCGGCACTGGTTTAGATGCGTTGGCCAGTATGGCATTGGAGAGTGCGTGATGCTCGTTTGTTAGCGCACTCCCACTCGTGTGCGCGATATCTGGGACACTCGCAGTTGTTCATGACCATGAGCAACCCCTCAACCACACCACTCAAGGTCTTCGCCAAAGGCAGACAGTCGACGCTCGGATAGCTTTTGCAAAGCTCGTTTGAGGTTGGTTGCAAAAAAAGGGTCACGCAGCTCCAACCGGGAGGTTGTCGCGCGACTAAAGTCGCGCGCGCGATAATTTATTCCGGTGTGTTCCCGCAGTTGCTCATCGTCCTCCTTTCTCTTACTATCCTCCTCCTCCTCCTCCTCCTCCTCCTCTTCCTCCTCCTCCTCCTCCTCCTCCTCCTCCTCCTCCTGCTCTTGCCCCTGCTCCACCTCCGCCGCAGCCTGACTCCGCAGGTACCATATGCCGCGCCGGCGCCCTTGGCACCCAACTGGGCGCCCCGCGGGCGATCGGCACGAGAGCGGTCCGCACCTCCGGGGGACCCGGTTTCCGGTTTCCAGGGGAGGAGGGGAACAGAGGCCGCCCCGTCCATCACCTCCTCCTACATCCCGAGGTGGACAAGGGCGAAAGGGCAGAGGTCGGGCCCCGCTCAGGGCCCGCTTGGGCGTTCCTCTCGCGCGGGTCTCGTAGTTCCGCAGGTGGCCCTCGTAGCTCTGGTGGCGGCTCTCGTAGCCAGGCAGGCGGCCCTCATCGCCGGCGTAGCTCAGGCGGTTACCCTCGTAGCCCAGCTGGTGGCCCGAGTGGCCCAGGTCGTGGACCTCTTGATAAGCTGGTGGCCCTGGGAGCTCAGCTGGTGGTCCTCGTAGCCCTGCTCGTGGCTCTCGTAGCTCAGCTTGTGGCCCTCGTGGCTCAGCTTGTGGCTTCCTGCGGATGGAGTAGCGGGGGACGTTATCCTCGGAGCTGTCGGCCCAGCGGATTTTCGATGTCTGGACGCTCAGTTCCAGCACCGCGCACTCAAAGCACTCCCCGCCGAGCCTGCCCTCCACCGTGTCTCCGATAGCGATCGGCTTTGGGGTTGTCCAGGCCTTCCGCGGGCCTTGGTGTTCGTATCGTGGCCCTCGTAGTACAACGGGTGGTCCTGGCAGCTCAGTTGGTGGTCCTCGTAGCCTTGCATGTGGCTCTCGTAGCTCACCTCGCGGGGGTCGCAGCTCAGCTGGTGGCCCTCGCAGCTCTGGCCGCCAGCTCTCGCAGAACAGCGGGTGGCCCTGGTTCGCGCAGCTTGCGTGCGGCCCGCGCAGCGCAGCTTGCAGCTCAGCCAGATGCTCTCGTAGTCCAGCCAGTGGCCCTCGTAGCTCTGAAGGTGGCTCTGGGAGCTCTGTCTGTGGCCGTTGCAGCTCAGCTTGTGGTCCGCGCAGCTCCGCTGGGGGCTCTCGTGGCCGAGTTGGTGGCCCTGGGAGCTCTGCTTGCTGCCCTGGAGGTGCAGGTTGTTTCCCTCGTAGATCAGCAGGTGGTCCTCTTAGCTCAGCAGGTGGCCCTCGTAGCTCAGCTACTGGCTCTCTCAGCTCGGCCTGTGGCCCTCGTAGCTCATCTTGTGGCCCTCCTCTGGCTCTGGCATGTTGCCCTCGTCTCTATGTAAGTTATCCTAGTAGCTGTAGCGGTGAGTTTCTTAGCTCAACAGGTGGCCGTGGTAGCTGAGCTGGTAGTCCTCGCAATCGTCGTAGTTTAGCTGGTTGCTCTCGTAGCTGGGCTGGTGACCCTGGTAACTCAGTTTGTGGTCCGCGTACCTTGTGGCGCTCGTAGCTCAGCTGGTTGCCTTTGCAGCTGAGCTGGCGACACGCGTGGCTCTGCTGGTGTCCCTCGTAGGTCACCAAGTCGGCCTAGCAGCTCTGCTGGTGGTTCCCGTAGCTCTGCTCGTGGCACTTGTAGCTCGTCTGGTGGCCCTCATCGTCGTTCAGCTAGTGGCCCTCGAAGCTCTGGTCGTGGCCCGGGTCGCTCTGTTGGTGGACATGGTAGCTATGCTCGTAGCTTTGGTAGCTCTGCCAGCTGCCCCTGTAGAGCTGCTGGTGGTTCTCCTCGCTCGTTCTGCGTGCTGCCCTTGCGGTTCTGCCTGTGGCCGTCGTAGCTCTGCTGCTGCTCCAGTGGCCCTCGCCGCCTGTGCTTGGTGCCCCCCCAGGGCCTCGGATGGTGGACCTCGTTGCCACTGCAGCGCTGCTGGTGGCGCTCGTAAGCTCTGCTGGTGGCCTCCCAAGTCCTTGCGGTGGCCCGCGAAGCTCTGCCGGTGGCCCCTGGCAGCTCCTGCGGGTGGCCGTCGTGGCCGCGCCGGTGGCCCGCGCACGTCCTCTGGCAGTCCTCGTAGCTGTAAGTGTTGCCCCTCCTCGAGTGATATCCAGGCCTCCGCCTGTTCGTCCCCGCAGTCCACGTCGGAGTCGTCGGCCGCCATGTCGTAGTGCTCCGTGCTCCAGTTGCCCCCGCAGCAGCAGTGTTCGTCATGCTCCTCGTGGTCTTCCTCGCAGCAGCGTGCGTCGTCCTGCTCATCCAGGTGCCTGGTCGCACTGCTATTAGCGCCGCTCGGCGCAAGGGCTGCCAGCACGACCAGGGTCTACATGTTTCTGGCACCATTCTTAGTCGCACCGTCGTACCACCGATCCTGCCACCCTCGCAACCTGACCTCCAGCTCGCCGATGCGCTGCTTTTGCAACCGCAGCTGGTCCATCACCCCACGCTGCGCCGGCAGCTGGCGTTCCTTTCTGGCCTGCCGTAGGCCTCGGGACCAGGGACTGCAGTCCATGATCTGGTGCTCACTGCACACGTTCCCCCGATCGAGAGGACTATCAAGCCTGCTCGGATGCTGATGTGTTTTGTGTGCCAAGCGCAGGTAGCTTTCGCCCTCCCGGGGCTCTTCCGCCGAAATGGCACTGCACAGAAGCATCGGATGAAAGGTCGCTCGCATGTACTCCAGATTTCGTAATAAAAGGGAGGGGGTCTCATTTCGGGGGGGTCTCTTCCAGGCTATCTTGGAGGGCCTGGGGGGGTCTGGGGACGGTGTTTTGGAGGGTTCTCCCACGGGGGGGGTCTGAAATGGCTTGTCTTGGAGGGTCCAGACCCCCTCCCTTTTATTACGAGATCTGGAGTACAGTTTTCTAAGACTGGTCTGCGGCTGCGCGAGCCACAGCGGCTCGCCCTGCCGCGCCCTGCGCCCTCTCATCGCGAGGCCGCGGCCAGCGGGGCCCGGGCCAGCCGGCTTCGGAGGCGGCGCACGCGGGCGGGCGCGGCGCCCAGGGGCGGCTGTGGGGGGGGATCCCGCACATGGCCTTACTGCTCCACGGCTTCCTCCGCCTCCTCCTCCTCCTCCTGTCCTCCTCCTCCGCCTCCTCCTCCTCCTCCTCCTCCTCCTCCTCCTCTTGACATTCGTTTTGGAGGACGGGGGAGTGCAAGGAAACAACGAAGGGGTGACCACGAGTACCAAGTGAGGCACTCGCAACTACATGTGTGTTACTATTTGAGCGTCATCGGTATCAAAGCTTATGCTTGGTGTGAACACGAGCCCGGGCTTGAGAGCGAATGCGAATGCGAAACTGTAAGTGAGCTTGGTTGCGATTGGGGATGCAGAAACGAGCAAGGCCTAATGGCAAGATCCGCTTGAAGCATGATCATTCCGAACCCTGGGGGGCCTATCGGCGCGCATGAGTTTCTGATCACGCAAGGACCACGGTAAGGGACTCTAGCTTTGCGTGCCGCGCCGCCAGTTCTGGCCCACCACGCTTCGGCGCGACGCGCGCACCACAGCGGCTGTGGGGAGGAGGAGGAGAAGGGGGGAGGAGGGGGAGGAGGAGGAGGAGGAGGAGGAGGAGGAGGAGGAGGAGGAGGAGGAGAGAAGTCCGCAGGCAGCAGGCAGGCAGCAGGCAGCAGGCAGGCAGGCAGTTTCTTAGCTTTCACAATCGTTTCTTGACCTTCAGAAGCTCTCATTATCGTTTCGTACCCATCATCATCATATCATAGCTTTCCGCCAAAATTAGTGAAGGAAGTGAGTTTTAGCACCACAGCCCCACTCCCAAAGAGTCCACGTCCCAGGCTCTTCCAGGCCTCCCCCGCCATCCGGAGCGGAGCGACACGCCGTCCGCCCGCAGGGCACGGCGTGACGCCGGGGTCGCCGCCGCGACACGCTGAGCAAAAGTTCCCCGCTGCGGCTGCCGCCCCGCACGGCAGCACAGCCAGGCGGCGCACACCACGGGGCGCGGGCACCGGGAGTGCGGGCGAGGCCTGGCGCTGCGCCCGACGGCCGCTCTTGGCCCTGCTGCCCTGCGCCGCGTCGTCGGCATCGGCGTGATTGAAAGACACGAGCGTCTCCGCACACAAGGGCAAGAGAGCTGGCACAGATCTCCGCCGTCCTCCTCTTCCTCCTCATCATCATCAGAATCATCACCAACACCACCACCGTCACCATCATCATCCTCATCATCCTCCTCATCAGCATCATCATCATCATCATCATCATCATCATCATCATCATCATCATTATCATTATCATCATCATCATCATCATCATCATCATCATCATCATCATCATCATCATTATCTTCATCAGCCTCATCATCATCGTCATCGTCATCGTCGTCATCATCATCATCATCATCATCACCAGCAGCAGCAGCATCATCCTCATCCTCATCCTCATCCCCATCATCATCATCCTCATCTTGGATGTTGAACTCTTGGGCCTTTCTGCTGAGCCTCTGCAAGTTTTCGCAGGCCTCTTGAGGCTTCCGGGGATCTTCGGAGAGGTCGGGAGACCTCCGAAGGCCTCACGTCGCGACCCCCGCTCTCGCTTCTCAGAACGCCGCCAATGTCGAACATGTATTCCCACGCGCAGATCTAGCTGCACATTGCTAGCTGCACTCTGGCCGTCACGGGGCACCCCACCACAACGTGATATCACGGGACACCGCGAGACACAGCGATGGACACGGCAGCTCAAGCGACACCACGGCGGCACGCCCCCCCCCCTATCGCACGCATGAGAACAGATAGAGCAGGGATGCTTCTGAGATGCGAGCTCCCGAGCTCCCTCCGCCAAAACAGGACAGGGGCATGTCCTGTGGGCTCGCCCTGGTCGAGGGGAACGAGGGGAGGAGGACGGGGAGGAGGAGGAGGAGGAGGAGGGAGGAAGACGAGGAGGAGGAACAGGAGGAGGAGGAGGAGGAGGAGGAGGAGGAGATAGGAGATGGGAGAAGGAGGATGGGAAGGAGGAGGAGGAGGAGGAGGAGAGGAGAGAGAGGAGGTGGAGGAGAGGAGGAGGAGATGGAGGAGGAGGAGGAGGAGGAGGAGGAGGAGGAAGGAGGAAGGAGGGATGGAGGAGGAGGAGGAGGAGGAGGAGGAGGAGGAGGAGGAGGAGGAGAGAAGAGGAGGAGGAGGAAGGAGGAGAAGAAGAAAGAGAAAGAGGAGGAGAAGGGGGAGGAGGTGGTGGAGGAGGAGTTGTCGGGGGGAACCCGGTCCCAGGCGACATCCCGGTGCCAGTCGCGGCCACCGAGGCGGTGGAGCCCGTGGCGCCCGCCGTGGAGTCCTTGGGGGCGCCTGCCGCCAGACCCGTCCCCCACTCCTCTGCGCCCTGTCACCATCCCCAGTCCTTCCCCCACCCACTGCCTCCCTCCTCCTCCGTCCTCTCCAGCACACTCCGAGGCCCCCATCGCTCCACGCGTTCCCCGCCCTCCCCCCCCCCCGCCCCTAAGCTTTCCCTCCGTACAAGGGTCCCCTCCCCCCGGTTCCCCCGGGAATCCGGATCACAGGAACCCGGAAATCTGGATTTCCGGGTTCTCGGGCGGAACCCCTTGCAAAAACCCGGAAATCCAGATTTCCGGGTTCCCGCGCCCCCCCCTCAGGCGCGCTCGTTTCTCGTTTTCCTCTCCCCCCTCGTCCTCCTCGTCCACCCTTTCCTTTCCCTGCCCTGCTCTTCCTCCTGCGTGGTTCTCCTCCTCCTCCTCCCCCTCCTCCTCGCCAGATTTCCGATTCTCGTGCGGGACCCCTTGCAAAAACCCGGAAATCCAGATTTCCGGGTTCCCGCGCCCCCCCCTCAGGCGCACCCTCTTCCCGTTTTCCTTGTCCTTTTCGTCCTCCCCCCTCCAGTCGTCGTCCATCATCATCATCATCATCATCATCATCATCATCATCATCATCATCATCATCATCATCATCATCATCATCGTCATCATGATCATGATGATCATCATCATCAATCATCATCATCATCATCATTATCATGTCATCTCCGTCATCGCATCGTCTTCATCAGCATCATCCCCATCGTCGTCATCATCATCACTATCATCATCGTCTCGTCGTCATCATCATCATCGCCAGCATCGTCATGGTCATCATCATCATCATCATCACCATCATCACCATCACAACCACAATCATGAGCATCCTCATCAGCAGTATCAGCATCATCGTCGTCGTGGTCGCCGTCGCCGTCGTCGTGGGCGTCGTCGGCCTTAAGAACACCCGAACAGATCATCTTCGACGCCGCCGCAATCGTTGTCGACGTCGTCGCCCTAGTTGTCGTGATTGGTGGTCATCGTCATCGCCATCATCACCATCATCAGCATCATCATCGCCCTCGTCATCGTCATCATCGTTATCGTTGTCATTATCGTCATCATCATTATCAGTGTCTCCTCCTCCTCCCGTCTCCTCCTCCTCGCGTCTCCTCCTCCTCCCGTGTCCTCCTCCTCGCGTCTCCTCCTCCTCGCGTCTCCTCCTCCTCGCGTTTCCTCCTCCTCCCGTCTCCTCCTCCTCGCGTCTCCTCCTCCTCCCGTCTCCTCCTCCTCCTCGCGTCTCCTCCTCCTCCCGTTTCCTCCTCCTCGCGTCTCCTCCTCCTCCCGTCTCCTCCTCCTCCCGTCTCCTCCTCCTCGCGTCTCCTCCTCCTCCCGTCTCCTCCTCCTCGCGTCTCCTCCTCCTCCCGTCTCCTCCTCCTCGCGTCTCCTCCTCCTCGCGTCTCCTCCTCCTCGCGTCTCCTCCTCTTCCCGTCTCCTCCTCCTCGCGTCTCCTCCTCCTCCTCCCTTCTTCTCCTCTTCCTCCTCTTCCTCCTCTTCCTTCTCTTCCTTCTCTTCCTTCTCTTCCTTCTCTTCCTTCTCTTCCTTCTCTTCCTTCTCTTCCTTCCTCCTCTTCCTTCCCCCTTCCAGAAACCCGGAAATCCAGATTTCCGGGTTTCTGGAAGGGGAGGCCGAAGGTCTCCCCAGGAAAACCCGGACATCGAGATTTCCGGGTTTTGTGATCGTGATCCCCGGGTTTTTCGAGGACCCCCCCCTCCCACCTCCCCCCCTGCCCTCTTCCCTTCGTTTCCCCAAACCCCGCGGGCCGCGCGGCCCTGCACAGCTGCGTTCGCGCCGACCCCCCAGCGCGGCGCCCTGGACTCCAGCGTCGGGGTCGTGCTGGAAGGCTCTGGAGTGTCCTTGAGGGCCCACGGCCTCGAGGAGACAGCGTTTCCTCGAGGAGCTGGCAACCTCCCCACTGGTGACCCCCGCTAGGCATTGCCCCCGTGAGCAGCGGCAAAAGTGCAGGCAGGGTATTAGGGCCATTCGCCCAAGGGGCCGCGCGGCGTCCATCCTCTCGCGCGTGGTCTCGACTCTTCAGCCACTGCGTTCATGAGGGAGGCATTGCTGCACGTCTCTTTTGTGGACACGTGGTGTCCCCAGACTTCTGGGGAACTTGACCTCTTCCTCATCATCATCATCATCATCATCATCATCATCATCATCATCATCATCATCATCATCATCATCATCATCATCATCATCATCATCATCATCATCATTATCATTATCATCATCATCATCATCATCACCACCATCATCATCACCATCATCATCATCATCATCATCATCATCATCATCATCATCATCACCGCTACCACCACATACACAGCCCGGGGAAAACGGGCCCAGGGGCCCCCGGGGCCAGACCCCCGACCGCAAACGTGTGCACGGGGCTGCCCAGGGCCCCGCCGGATCGCCCGAGGACGACCCCGGGGTGCTTGACAGTGCGCTTCGGGGCCGCCCAAACGGCCCGTGGCGGCCCCAGATGGGCCAGAATTGGCGCCGCAAGGTCCGAGAGGCCTCCCAAGAGCCTCCACGAGGCCTCCCAAGAGCCTCCACGAGACCTCGCAAGAGGCAAGTTTCGTCGCCGTGATCGTCGCCGTCGTCGTCCTCGTCCTCGTCCTCGTCGTCGTCGTGATCGTCGTCGCCATCGTTAATTGATCGATGGCTTTTGAGTGAATTTGGTTTTCTCGCCGTTTCGGCTTCCCAGCGTTCCTGGGCGGCCCGAGGCGCCGCTAAAGGACGCCCCAGTACTGCCCAGGAGGCTCCCAAGAGCGCCCCAGGACGCGCCGAGAGGCTCCCAAGACGCCCCTGGGAGGGCTCCAAGACGGCCTGAGAGGCGTCCAAGACGGCCCCGGAGACCCCCAAGACGACTCCAGAGAGGATCCAGGCGGGGGGCCCGAACGGACATTTCGAGCCCTGAAGCTCTCGAGAGGCCCCCGGGAAGCCCCGAGAGGCCCCCAAGACTGCCCCCAGAGGTCCACAGAGGTCTCCAAGAGGCCCCCGCGGGGCCTCCCAGAGGCCCGACGAGGCCTCCACGAGGCCCCCGAAAGCGCCAAAGTCGTCCATCGCTCCACGGTTTCGAAGGCCTGTCGCGCTCTCGCCTTGGTCAGCGCCCCGGAGCGCTCCAGGGCGGCCCGAGGCGCCACGAGGGGCTCCCGGGATCGCCCCGATGCCGCTCAAGAGGCTCGCGAGAGCGCCCCACGACGGCCCGAAAGAGAGAGCTCCAAGACGGCCCCGAGGAGGGCTCCGAGACGGCCGGAGGGGCTTCCACGACGGCCCCAATGCTGCTCAAGAGGCTCGCAAGAGCGCCCCAAGACGCCCCGAGAGAGAGAGCTCCAAGACGGCCCCGAGGGGGCCCCGAGGACGGCCGGAGGGGCTTCCACGACGGCCCCAGGGGCTTCCGAGGCGGCTTCCGCGCCGAGAGGGTCCAGGCGCGGGCCCCGTACGGACGCTGCGAGCCCTCGGCCCAGGGAGGCGCCCGGAAGCCCATCCAAGAGGCCTCCAGGAGGCCCCCACGAGGCCTCCACGAGGCCCCAGAAGAGCCAAGCGCCTCGATGCTTCAGCGGTTTTGAAGGAGTTTCGCGCTCTCGCGTTTACGGCTTTCCGACGGTCCAAGGCGGACCAAGAGGCCTCCAAGATCGCACCAACATTGCCCAAGATGCCCCAAGAGCGCCCCAACCCACCTCAAGAGTCCCCAAAGAGAGCCCCAGAGGCTTCCAAGGCGGCCCCACAGAGGCCCCAGAAGGACCCTCGCACGGCCAAAGACGGCTCCAAAAATCATCTCGGCGGCTCTACAGCGGTCCCAAGAGGACCCCAGGGGGCTCCAAGAAGGCCACAAGAGGGTTCCAAGAGGACCCCAAGAGCGGTCACGCGAGAGAGCGCTCGCGTGACCGATGCTTGGCTGCTCTTGGGGCCCCCATTGGACGCCCTTGCGGCCTTCCTGTTGCCCTCGCAAGCCGTCTTCGAGGATCCTGAGCGCTCCCAGAAGGCCCCAAGATGGCCCCAGGAGGGTTCCAAGAGGACCCCAAGAGCGGTCTCGCAAGCTGTCTCGCGAGAGTCGTGATGGTGGTGGTGCTGCTGTTGGTGGTGCTGCTGCTGCTGCTGCTGCTGCTGCTGCTGCTGCTGCTGCTGGTACTGGAGGCCAGGGCCGGGGCGGGGACACCCTCCCGGAGTCGCCCCCCTTTCTGGGCCCACGACATGATTGACCCCTTTCCGGGGCCTCCCAGACCTCCCCCCCCGCTCAAAATTGCTCCAGAGGCCACAAAATTCGACCAGAGCGACCTGACAGGGACGAAGACACCAGAAACATTGTTTCAAGACGGGTCAAGAGGTCCCGAAGATGCCCTAAGATGGCTCCAAGATGCGCCCCAAGAGGGCCCCAAGAGGCCAAAATTGTTTCATTCCCGAGGGGAACGAACATTTCTAACAGATTCGCACTGTAGGTCTTAACAGCGTCCAACGCGGCCCAAGAGGCCTTACAGATCGCCCCAAGACGGCCCAAGAGGCCTCCAAGAAGGCCCAGGACGGCCAAAGAGAGCCCCAAGACGGTCCAAGAGGCGCCCAACACGACCCCAAGAGGAGTCCAAGAGGGGGAACTCCAACTGACATTTCGAGCCCTCCGCCACCAGTCGGCACCCCAGCCCGCAGCAGGGACAAATAAGGCCCCCAAGGGCCCCAAAAGAGGCCCCAAGAGGCCCCCACAGGTCCCACATGAGGCCACAAGAAGCTTCAAAACTCGCTCCACGAGGCGCCCGAGGGGCATACCAAGAGACCCCGAATGACAGGCATCCAAGAATCCTCTGGCCCAAAACTCGGGCACAGTAGCGCTACGGGCCGAAGGCCATAGATAAGCAAGCAACTGGTTGGCGACGGACCCATCCCTATGCAGTCATGTGTAGTGCAGGGTGCGGGTCTCTTTTCATACATTGCGCGCTGCTGGGCAATGCGGAAAGATGCCGCGGGACACGCGTGCACGAGTGCGCTGAACTCCTTGTGGGGCACGATCCGCGTGAAGGGCCGCGCGAACACGCCCAATGAGGTTGCAGGTGGACCTCCTCCAGGCAAGCCCCGTGCGAGGCATGTTTCGAAATGAGCGCGGGGACGCCATGCGAAGCTGTCCATGGTTGCCATAGGTGGAGCTCCTGCTGGGGCGTGATTCGCGTGACAGGTGTGCCGCCATGGGCGGGGGGGCGCTGTACGGAACTTGTCTCTGGGCTTTGAAGGTGGTGCTCCTTGTGGGCACGATCCGCGTGATGGGGTGTGCCGCAATGGCCGGGGGGGATTGCAGTGCGATCCCTGTCTCTGGGGCCGTGGGTGGAGATCTTTGTGGGCCACGATCCGTGTCAGAGGTGTGCCGAAGTAGGCGGGAGGGCGGGATGCGAACTTTGTCTCTGGTGCCGTCCGTGGACCTCCTTGTGGTGTGAGAGATGTGCCGAAGAGAGCGGAGCGATGATATGAAGCTCCCCATCTGGTGCCACAAATGCATCTACCTGCGGGGCACGATCCGCGCGAGGGGCGTGACACTCTGCGAACCTCGTCTCTGGGGACGTCGGTGGATCTCCCTTTGGGGCGCGCTCCCTGTGCGGGATGCGCCGGCATGGGCGGGGGGGCCCTGAGCCGAGCCTGTCTCCAGTGCCGCAGGTGGAGCTCCCGGAGGTGCAGGATGCGTGTGGCAAGATGTGCCCTCCGATGCCGGACGCTTCAGGCCACAGTGATAGCTTGCTGGGACCTAAGCGCGCCAAGCGCGCGCGTAGTTTTAGATACCATTTGTTATCATTATACTCATCATCAGCGAGGCAGCATCATGACCATCATTTCCAACATCACCATCATCATCGTCAGCATCAGCATCATTAGCATCATCATCACATCATCACCATCATCAGCAGCATCATCATCAGCATCATCATCCGTCGCCTCTGCCCGCTCCTCCTAATCATCCCTCATCCTCCTCAACCTGAATCGTGGCTTCACGATCGAAGCGTGTATGCTCCGAGGAGCTGTTTCCCGCGGTTGCAGTCTCTTGTTGAGGACTCGCCGCGACTCGAGAGGGGTAACAGGAGGCGTCTGGCACCCTCGTCCATTCGGTTCCATGACAATTCGTCTTAGATGCAGTGTCTTGCTCATCATCTTCCCCGTCCTCCTTAGTAGCCTTCTCTCCCTCCTTGTTCGCCTCCGACTCCTCCTCTCCATCAAAAGCCCGCTCTCACCCGATGCTTCAGCAACGTAGCAGCCAGTCAATGTGTCAGATCGCTTGCCCGTCTACAATATCGAAGACAGGGAATGTGAACATCATGATCGTGTTATTCTCCAATCAGAGCTTGCCTCTGTAGGGGTCTTAGCGGATTCATATGGTTAGGTGAGGTTTGTCACCGATTTCCGTGGCCGGCCGGGTGCCCGGGTGCCTGGGTGCCTTATAGCCCTATAGCCCTACTCTGCCGTTACTAAAGTTGTTGACCATTCTTGCAAATCCAAAGGCCAGACCTGCGGCAAGCGCGCCCTCGGGCAAAATTGAACGACGGACTTATGCCCATGCAGATCTGAAGCCGCTCACCCTCGTAAAACACAGGCGGAGTAAGTTTCGGAGGACGCGGAGTATGTTTTCGTCAGCTCAAACACAACGCGGAGTAAGTTCAACAAAAACGCGGAGCAAGTTAATCCACGTCAAAAAACGTGCGGAGTAAGTTTGTACACAGTAGTAAATCTATAATACTCAGGAGAAACGGTGTGGGCGGGATCCGAAACCTACTCCGCGACAGGCGGATGCCACGTTGTAGGATTCTACGGGGAGAGGGGGGTCCGTCAACGAAATGTTCAAAACTTTGGTAACGGCATTGTATAGCCCTATAGCCTTATAGCCCTATAGCCCTATGGCCCTATACCCCTATAGCCTGATAGCCCTATACCACTATTGCACAATAGCCCTATTTTCCAATAGCCCTATAGCCATATAGCATTATAGCTCTATAGTCCTAGAACCCTAGAGCCTATAGCTCTATAGCCCTATAGCCCTACGTATAGCCCTATAGCCCATAGCCCTACATCACTATAGCCCTATAGCCTTATAGCCCTGTAGCCCTATCGCCCAATAGCCCTATTTCCCAATAGCCCTATAGCCATATAGCACTATAGCCTTATAGCCCTATATCCCTAGAGCCCTAGAGCCTATAGCTCTATAGCCCTATAGGCCTACGTATAGCCTTATAGCCCCATAGCCCTATATCCCTATAGCCCAAATAGCCCTATAGCCCTGTATCCCTATAGCCCAATAGCCCAAATAGCACTATAGCCCTATAGCCCTATAGATCGACATGCCATATAGCCTTGTAGTCCTAGAGCCCTAGAGCCCTAGAGCCTATAGCCCCATAGCCCCATAGCCCTATAGCCCCATAGCCCAATAGCCCCACAGCCCTATAGCCCTAAAAAGACTTTGATTGGGGCTTGTCTCCGGTACAATTTTTGTTCTAGCCACCAATGGATTCGATTGTCCGCGACAGGTTGCTCGCCTTGGGCCACCGTTCCATCGGCTGCGAACGGCCCCGAATCGCCGCAACTCGCTTGCCCTGGGCCGCCAGGTGTGCGGCTGGCCGCTGCTAGCCCCGATCTTGCCGCTTTTAGCGAACACACGAGCCGCCTCGCGGTTGGCCGCGGCGTGCCCTCACGAATGCCGGCAGGCGTCCGTACCTTAGCTGCTCTGATACGCACGTCTCGAGACGTAACACGTGCCGTGTTCAAAACGTCCGTGTTCAAAACGTACGTGTTCAGTCTACGTGTTGAGCTCCGTATCAATACGTTACGTGTTGCGTGTTGCGTATCGGGGCAGCTAAGTTCCGCACAAGTGCTTGCGGCAAGTCCCCACACGAGGCTGGCGCCGCATGCCGTGCAGCGGCCCTTCGCGAAGCGTCCAGGGGGCCGTGGCGTGCGGGAATGCTTGCCCTCGGGGTCCAGAGGACAGCAACAAGTGGCGCGCTCTTTCGCAGGGCTCGAGGCAACCGCACCGCGGGCACGCGGAGTGAGTAATTGGCCTGCCATCAGGTGCCCCACGGAGATGTCCTATTCCCCGACGACCTCGGGCGCCCACTGATGTCGAGGAACAAGAAAACGTAAACATAAATGCTGAAAGCTCTGCGCGGAGCGCCGTGTATGCCGCTTTTTCTCCTTCGACGATGGGCTTCCCGCGAAGTCCAGCGTCGACAAAGCAATGTGCCTCAAGGCTTCTTATAGCAAGATGTCTGAACGCATGCACCCACTGTAGCATGAGATGGTTAGTCTGCCTCGGGTGCAGATAGACAGGACGTGTGGCACCACTCTTCCCCAGAGCCCGCAGGGCCGCAGTAGGTGACGGCTCGCTGCCCCAGTCGAGGCAAGGGCTGTCCAATTGGTTTTTCCATAGCCCAAGGGGCCTTCACGAATTGATATGTGACTTCTGGGATGGGCGTGTCCCAGGAGCCTGCTGGAGGACTCTGTAGGCCTTTCTGTGGGCGGCTTGGGAAATTGCTGGGGGTCTGCGGACCGTTTTGGAGGGTCTTGCGGTTGTCGGGGAATTCGTAGTGCAGTGTTGGAGGGTCCTGTGGCCATCTATCGGGCGTCTTGGGGCCGCCTTGAGGCTGTTCAGGATTTTGGAGCAGTGTTGGGGCCATCGTGGGGCAAAGTGGTCTTTGGGTCTTTGAGGGGGGGGCTTGGAAAAGTCCTGGAGGTGTCTTAGGCATATCTTGGCCGCTCTGAACGACGCAGGGGGACAAGCAGAAGACATGTAATTGTATGATGTGGCCATCTAGGCGGGATCGAGATTCAAGCTCGCAGTGGGCTTGCCGAGCGCGCTTGTCTCAGGCAGTCGGACATGCTGTCTCCCTGCATTGCTGCTGTGCTGAAGGCACCGGCCGCTGATAGCACGGACCCCGCCAAGAAGAGCAAGAAATCCAAGAAGGACAAGAAGGCCATGCCTGCTATGAAGAGGAGAGGGGGGGCAAGTGAGCATTGGAAGCGGTCCCGCCGATGGCGCGCGCTGGCTTAGTGCGTTTGGCCTGCTTTCTCTCTCCCCCCAGCTTGATGTTCCCTGACCAACGGTCGCCGGGGCGTAGGAAACAGGTGCAGCGCAGGCTCGAGCGTCGTGGTGCCGGTCACACATGCGCCCCAAATATTTGTCCCCCTCCTTTGGAACAGTGTGCTTGTCGAATGGCCTTCTGCACATCCCCCCACCGTGCCTGGGTAGTGGGTCATAGGCCTCTTGGATGCTCAATCGGGATGTCGTGAGAGGCCTCTCGGGGGCCTCTTGGAGACAGTTTTGAAGCTTCTTGGAGGCCGTTGTGCGGCCTCTTGGGGCGTCTTGTGGGCCTCTTTGGGGCCTCTTGGGGCCTCTTGGGGGCCTCTTGGGTCTTCCTGAGGGCATCTTTGGGCGAAATGCTCGAATTGTTGGTTCGGGCTCCTCCTCTTGGGCCCCACTTGGGGCCGTCTTGGGGCTCTCTTGGGCCATCGGGGGCGCCTCGTGGGCCGTCTGGGGCCCTCTTGGGCCGTCTTGGGGCCCTCTTTGGGGCCTGTTGGGGCGATCTTGGGGGCCTCTTGTGTCGTCTGGAACACCGTGAGTCCGAAAAGACGTATATGCTAATATGCACGCTTTCCGAAGGGAATCAGACGATTATCGCCTATTGGGGCCCTCTTGAGAGTGCTCTTTGAGGCCTCGTGGGTCGTCTTGGGCGCGTGTTTTGTCCGCCCCCTCCGCGACAGCGCATTTAAGCATCTATGAGACCACCTTTCAGGTAAAAAGGAGGTTGGGGCGGGATTGACATCACTTTTGATGTGCATTCGACACAATCAGGACAGCCATCGGAACAACCATCGGGACAACCGTCGGGACAACCGTCGGGACAACCATCGGGACAACCGTCGGGACAACCGTCGGGACAGCCATCGGGACAACCACCATGGCAACCATCGGGACAACTATCATGGCAACCATGGGGACAACCATCGGGACAACCGTCAGGACAACCATCGGGACTGCCACCATGGCAACCATCGGGACAGCCATCATGGCAACCATCGGGACAACCATCGGGACAACCGTTAGGAGAATTATCGGGACGCCCATGGGGACAGCCCACATCCACCGGCCGGGGCGGGCCAAGGCGATGCATGTTCGCTCGACTTTGGCCTCCGCACGGGCAGGAGCCAGCGTTGCCTCGCCTCGCCGCGCGCAGGTGACGGGCGACGCGAGGCGAAGCCGAAGGCGGTGTCCCCGTTGGGCAACTCCCTCTTCACTTCGATCTCGCCCCCCAACCTTCCTGACATATAGTACATCTTGTGTACGCACAGGTGCTACTGCACTCTGGGGAAGTATGTCTCGCGAAGCAGAATGCTCTTGGCGATACTCAGCGCCAGCAGGGCCTGGCCGCAGCCCTGGCCAGCCTACATCCAGCAGGGGGGGGGTCTCTGTGTCACCACCCCCTTCGCACAACATCTACTTCTCGGGCGCCTGGGCTGTACATTGTCTGCATGTTCTAACTGGCCTCAATGTGAGTCATAGATTGGCAACGCACCGCCCCTGACGATGCACTCGCGGATTCTGGCTGGCACGATTCTGCATCTCCCATCTTCCTTGTCCTCATCATCCTCCGCCTGCTTCTCCTTCTCATCATCATCATCAGCAGCAGCATCATCCCTTTCCGTATCCTTCTCTTGCTCCTCCTTCCTATCTCTTTGCGTATATTCCGCCCTTTTCGCTCTCCGCCTCCTCCTCCTCCTCCTCCTCCTCCTCCTCCTCCTCCTCCTCCTCCTCCTCCCCCTTATCATCATCATCATCATCATCATCATCATCATCATCATCATCATCATCATCATCATCATCAGCAGCAGCAGCAGCAGCAGCAGCAGCAGCATCGTCATTATCATCATCAACATCATCATCATCATCATCATCAGCAGCAGCAGCAGCAGCAGCATCATCACCCTCTACCTCTGTTTCCAGTCATCCCTGCTTTCCTTCCCAACTCTAAGAGCATTGGGAGGCCTTCGAGCGCCTGAGAAGAACTTGACGGGATTTGGGGCCTTTCGGAGGCATCCGGAGGATCTGGGAGGCACATGGAAGCCCTTGGGACGATTCCGTTGACGCGCCTGGGTCTCGTAGTCGTTCGACTTGGGCCAGCCAGGCTTCCTGGCAGCAGGTGTTCCTTTTGGTTCCTCTGCGTCCGCTCCTGAGGCTTCTGGGGTTGCCCGTCGACCTGGGAGAGAAGGGGTGGGGGACGGACGGAGGGAGGGCAAGGGCCTTCTCGGAAACATTCCTCCTCCTCCTCCTCCTCCTCCTCCGCCTCCTCCTCCTCCCCCTCCTCCTCGTTCCTCCTCCTTCTCCTCCTCGTTCCTCCTCCTCCTCCTCCTCCTCCTCCTCCTCCTCCCTCCTCCTCCTCCTCCTCCTCCCTCCTCCTCCTCCTCCCTCCTCCTCCTCCTCTCCTCCTCCTCCTCCTCCTCCTCCTCCTCCTCCTCCTCCTCCTCCTCCTCCTCCTCCTCCTCCTCCTCCTCCTCCTCCTCCTCCTCCTCCCCCTCCCCCTCCTCCTCCTCCTCCTCCTGCTCCTCCTCCTCCTCCTCCTCCTCCTCCTCCTCCTCTCCTTCTCCTCCTCCTCCTCCTTCTCCTTCTCCTCCTCCTCCTGCTCCTCCTTCTCCCCCTTCTCCTCATCCGCATTTGGGGGAGGGCGAGGGCCTTCTCGGAGGCACTCCTCGCAGCAGAGCCTAAAGCCCAACGAGAAGCAGAGGCCGTGCAGAAGTCCAGCTCTACATCTGCTCGTTCTCTGCCGAGCGGCGGCTCCCCCTCGCTCGGCAGGGGCAGCGCGGGGGGGCTCGAGTCGTGAGCCCAGCTGCCACAGCAGCGCGCAGAGCCCACCAGGACCCATCGGTCGTTGAAAGTAGGTATTTTTTGGATTTCCCAGATTCCAATCTACTTTCAGCGCCTTCCTACTTCAATGAGTGGCTTCCCCTCCCCCTCTTCCCTCCTCGTCAGGGAGCGGGCGGAGACCCAATCTACTTTCGACGCCTTCCTACTGCATGGTTCTACGTACTTCTTCCGACCGGCGTGCACATGAGTAATTGACCTGGGAGCTCCACTGCGATGTCTTGTCTTGTCTCGTCTTGTCTTGTCTCCCGCGCCGGCTCCTCTACGCCAGACGAAAGACGGGAAAGTCAAGGCCAAGGGGAAGTCGAAGAAGGCCTTCTGCTGCTGAGCCCGCCTGGTCGCGCCCTCAGCCGCGCCCGGGATGGGCTTCCTCTGCCGATGGCGTGCGCGGATGGTGGGGGGCGCTTCCAGGGGGGCTCCCCTCCACCTCACTCCTTCCAGCCTTCCCTCCCATTCACCTTCCCCTCCCCCCCTTTCCTCCCTCAGCCTCTCCTCCCCCCCCCTCCCCCCTCCAATCTGTTGGGCCAAACTCGCAAGAAGTACCTCCACAGGACTGCGGTTGGCCCCCAACCGAAAGATCTGAGCCGAGCCGAGCAGATGACCGGGTAATCGATCTCTCTTTCATCCGAGTCGACTAGACGTAAGAGTGGCCTTTCGCCGGAGTGACCTCTGGTGCGGGCACAGATGGGCCCCCAGATGGCCGAAAACGAAGCAGGAGCAGCGGCTTGCGCGCCCAGGTTTGGCCCCCCGCGGCCCCCAAAAAGCCGCGCACCAAAGGTCACTCTCACCCAGGGTCACTCCTGCGTGTAGCCGACCGAGGTGCGTCGCTGCTGCCTCCACCTGCGTCCGCAGCGGGCCGCGCTCCGCTCCGCTCCGTGCCCTCCCCCCCCCCCTCGGCCAGCAGGGGGCCCCCCCTGCGGGGGGCCCCCTCCGCGCCGTCCTCCGTGCTCCTCCCCCCCCCCCCCGCCGGCCGCGGAGCGCGGGCCTCCAAGAGGCCGACTTCGGCGGGCCGCGCGCGGCCGGCGGAGAGATGGGAGGCGGAAGGGCGGGGAGGAAAAAGGAGGGGATCCTCGACCGAGCGGCCCGCGAAGGCGAGACTCGCGCACGCACTGCCAGGGCCACACGCCGGGGCGCGTGGGGCGGGGAGAGCACCGTGCCAGCCTGCTTTCTCGCCGCTCTGCGGGAGCGCTGGCACGTCGGCGGCCACATGCTTTACATCGTGCGCCCCAGGAGGAGGAGGAGGAGGAGGAGGAGGAGGAGGAGAAGGAAAGAGGAGGAGGAGGAGGAGGAGGAGGAGGAGGAGAGCCACGGCCTGCCCGAGGTCCGCGGGCCTGCCCGCAGGGGGCCAGCCGCTACTGCAACTTCAACTTCGTGACCATTCACTAGTAGATGTGTAAAGCCCTTCATTTTTACATGCGTATTGGTCGGTACTCGTCGCGTCAAACAGTACACGTCGACCACGTCGGCTTCCAACCCTGCCTGGTACCGCAGGGAAGAGGAAAAGAGAGCTGCGGCACACACGCTCTTACGAGTAGCATCGGCACGCGAACTACTCGATCAGCACATCCACCGCAAGCTCGATTTAGCACACAGGCCACTACAGGCTCACCACAGCGCACAACCACCACGACATCCACCTCAAGCTCCAAACATGGCGACATCATGGCGAGCAATCGCGAGTGGATCGGGAAATGCGCCACCACGGTGGAGAGCAGCATCGAGCCGACCACGATCCAGAGCTGCGATACCGAGGCCCACTACACCAGCCATCTGGGCAGGACTCGAGCGTTGGAAGAACCACAGCTGGATGGACCAATGAGCCAGCAACAACCCGGACAAGTCCTGGAGCCAGAACCACAACGTGAAAGGCAACCACCACCAAGACAGCAAGGGGAGGCCCGCCAGCCGCAACCCGAAGGGGAAGGACAAGGACAACAAGGGAAAGGACAGACCCACCTTGACAAGGAAAAGACGCCCAAGAAGAAGGACGACGGCCAGGACTAAAACGACCACGTCACCAACACAGTCAACATTGTCATGCCATGAGGAACATGCACTCTGTCAGGAAGCACAATTGGGAGCTACCGCCAAACGACCACAAGCTGAGAGACGACTGGAAGAACATCAGACATGCCGAGGAGCGAAGAGCGGCAACTGCCATCGTCAAGAACAGCGCAGCAGGACTACCTTCTACCGACGCATTTACACATATTGCCTCCATCAGAGCAATGGTCCTCAACAGCATGTCCCTGGCCCAACAGGCGAGGGAGATCGACGGCGCCAAGAAAACCATGGAGGACTACTACGAGAATTCCAAGATCTACCAGCACCAAAGAGTTAACGATCTACATGAACGAGCTTGATAACAAAATCGAGGAGCTCACCACCCTCCAGCGCGACATGAGCAATGCCGGGAACGACCGTTACAGTGACACAGAAGCAGGTGATGAGGACGCAGATCAACCACAAAGGAACACGACACAAAGAAGGTCGCTTGCACCAACACCATCCCCAAGGAAGCAAACGAGGGCAGGTGAATCCGCAGGCAGACGGGACGCAGGCACCACAGTCAGGATCCTGAAGGAATACAACCAGCGCATGGCCAACGACATTGAGAAAAACAAGGTTGATGCCAACGACGCGATCAACGACCTCGAGAGACATCTCCGCGCAACGAAAGCAGCAGCACGGAGGCATGAACAGAACCAACACCACGAGGTGACCAAAGCCAAGACGTACCATAACGAGCTCAAGAAGGAGATACCCCTTCTAAGCATGCGATCGAACAGATGACGGCACACCACGAGTACACACAGACCGTCAACGCGGAGAAGCTCACCAGGGCGGGGGAGGAGCTAGAAGCTATGCTGAGATCGACAACAGGTTTGGGACACCAGCCGCACACAATCGAGGACAGCCAACTACAGAAAGAACTCCCAGAAATTTAGATTCTGTTCACCGACAGCAACGACATGCGGGCCAACATAGAGGAACCTACGAGTCGCAGAGAGAATCGCCGCAGAAATACAAAAGTAGTACAGCACGACCATCGAAGCCGAGGACCACATCGCAAACATCGAAGCCAAAGCAACCGAAGCTAGGATCAAGGACCAGAACGACAACAAATCCAGCACCAGAAGTGGGGCGACTCAGAAGAAAGCAAACGACAAGTGAAGGAAGAGCTACTGGAGCAAAACAGGCGCACGGAAGCCACCATTCACATGACCATAGAGGAAAAACAGTTAAGATTCGCCAACACCGAGCGCCACATGCGAAGCAGGGGCGCTGGGAACGCAGAGCAGCAAGAAGGACACCACCAATGGGTCATCTCCGACATGCACAATTAACAGCAACAAGTGAGCTACAAAGCTTTCCAAGCTAAAGGACATGTCCAGCTCACACCACAGCGAGCTGAGATGGGCACGGCAGCTTTCCAACACGAGATACAAGCGCACCGCCACAGGGAGACACTGCGGAGGGCCACGAAGGAGCCCCACGAGACGAGGACCGAGGAAGCTACGGATGAGTTCCAGCACGCCCGACACGCAGCTCTCATTGCCCAGCAGCGCCTCAACAGCGCAGACATGGTCGACGCCATCGGCGACGCCCTCAACATACCTATCGGCACGGATGCCGATGATTTCGCCACCGCGGATTCTGCTGCATGCCCACCCGTACCACCACTAGAACATCCACCGGGGGATGGGGAAACACGAGTGACCCAGGCTAAGTCCGACGAGATATTCCGAGAAGCCGAAGGCCGTTTTGCATTAACATCCCAAGGACGCAGAGAGGGACGGCTACGCCACCAGAATAACCCCAGCAGGCCGACGCGACTGAATGGCCAATGCCACCAGCGTGGACATTGGGCCCCATACCGCCAGGCCAACCACACCCACCGACCATTCATGCCCCTGTGATCATCGAAGGGAGGATGGCATCACCCCGGCGGCCCGGCGGAGCAGATGACGCCACAAGCAGCAAACCCATTTAACAGCTTCATTGACACGCATGGGAGAGGGCCATCGGCGCCACCATCACGGTAACACCCAGCGAGCTCAAGCGCACGAAGAACCAAAAGGGCCGCAATCGACCCCCACGAGCCCCACGTCATCGTCGCGGCGACCCCCGAGGCCGACGCCCCCATCGGCGAGGCTACGACCGACGACGAAGCCGAAGCCACTGGGAGCCCAGCGGACTCCTACACACGCTCACACAGCGGCTTTGGACAGCATATGGACGACGCCGCACGTAGTGAGTCTGGCGCACCACTACGTACAGCTTACCCAGACCGGCAGGACCCACCGCAACGGGGCGCTCGCGACGTCCAGCAACACTCGGACATTCGGAGGACGCAATGCAGATGGGCAGACCAAGAGGCCCTGACCAACTACGGGGACCTGCCATTGCGCCGCTCAGACGGCGCGCTCAAAGAATCCCACATTCAGGGCAGCGGAATGTCGGGCGACGCAGTGGACACACGACGGCGAACACCACCGCCACATTCAGCAGTGCCACAGGGCACGACGACACCATCACAGCCCAGGGAAACTCAGCTGGGACATAGCGACCGAGAGTTGAAGCAGGATGTGGGATACCTACATCAACCTCAGCGACCCCGCGACCTGTACCCGACAGATATGGAAGAAGGTTCCAGCAGCGGCAGAGACAACACATCGCAGCGCCGCGTTGAAGGGCCCACCACCGAGGCAGCCAACAACAATGTCCACGAGCGACAGACGTCACCCGACGAGCAACCCTGCTCCGTGCGAGAGGGCCAACCATCTGAAGACCACGTTGCGAGGTGTCCAGCGGAAAAAAGCGATCCGGCACACATTCGCAGTGGCCGAGTCGATCGCGCGCGCCTTCAGGCGCACCTCCACGCCCACATCAGCACCGACTTCCCCGACGCACACGAACCACAGCGGTTCAACCCAGCAGCAATCATGGCATTGGACCTGACCCCACCCAGAACCCACTGAGTGATCGAGGGGATCCACCCGCACACCGACGGTACCCACCAGACTGACTCCACCAAGGACGCTCGGGCTGCGGTAGCTACCGTCAAAGACGACGATGGCTTTGCATACCTGCGCACCATGTCAGCCCAAGTCACTGACTCTACAACAGCCGCCATAGACATGACGGCGCTCATCTGGGCGTGCGCATGGGTATACAGCCAGGCTGATATTCACGATAAACATACCGGCAACAGTGCACACCGACTCGAAAGTCGCGCTCGGACTGGCCAAGGGAGTGCACGTACCACGCAGCACCCACGACCGAGTCGCGCTCACTACCCAGATACACCAGCTGGCACCCACTGCC